ATTATATTTTCGATGTTTAATAGGATTACAGTAATTGCTTTCAGCTTTGCTTACATCCTACATTAACGGAACATATTCACCTATTATGCCTAGATAATTATTACTAGTACGTCGTCCGTTACTGGATTAATTGCTACACATATTCTGGATAATGATTCTAGAATGTTCAATTTCGTATGAATGGTGCACTTGAATGGATCAGCATTTAGGCGTAACACCATCACAAACGTTTATTCAATTTAGCATTTCGATAGTCTATTGTCGGAGCTAAAATTTAGAGTTTAGTATCCGAGGCAATATTTTACGTTATAAACTTTGAATTATTCGATAGGGGCTTCCAACTCGAGCTAGCAGCCCGACAAAGATGACAATCGCTTCCCTAAAACGCGAGACTGAAGTGTATTGTTCAAAACGCATAGCAGGGGGCTTCACTACCGCTTTCAATAAAATACGAACGTACGAAGCAAGGTACCGAGTTCTTTATTTATTACCTAACAAAGCTTATTTTAGGTAAACTCGGATTTCGTACACAATAAAAGGAGTAGATGTATATGAACGAGTACGAAGACGTCCTTTGTTTTCGCGACGAATTTTCTAAGACTAAAAGAGATATGCTAGTGAGATCTCTAGCATAATTGTGGAATATTCTTTTGGGTTGTGCCAATAAAACATAAAATACATAAAAAAATAAGGTGCATATTATTAAGTTTCCGGAAATATAGCTAGACCTAGGTAAGAACTCAAAAGGCGAAGTATAAACATAGGTATGTCTAATGTACATACACATATAAGAATATCTATATTAGAACAACTATTATATTATTTCAAGTTTCAAAATTCAAAAGACTATCTCAGCATTCTAGTTCTAACCACGAGGCAGACTTCAGTTTGCGATCTGTACACTTATTAAAGAGAGTTTGGAACTTCAATATGCATCAGGAATCAGAACCCGATGTATTGAAGTTTCCGTATAGTTTTGTTTCCGCATAGAATTTAGAAGCAAGATTTACTTTGGTTTTTGGTATTCAAAAATTTGTAATTTTGATGTAATGTGTAATGTCAGTGATTGGTTACGATGTCAGTAAACTTTAGGAGATTTTCTTTCAGGCTTTCTTTTGACTTTCTGGCAGGCTATATGGCTCTGGCACTTGTTTCTCATACAAACACATCTCTGAAGTTTGTAGTACTTTGGCAAATTAAGCACTGTGTGAACATTGTCCCACTCGCTATGGTGATCGGATGACTCAACGGCGTAACTCGAGGATGGCTTCGAAGTTATATTATTAGTAAAAAGTTATGTCGGTCATCGGATCACTTGACGTTTCGCAAAATTGGCGTCCCTACATTGAATGCACGAAATTGTTCGGATCGGATCGATTTGTTTTTCGTTAAATCAGTCGATTGTCCGTCGATCTGTCGGACACGTGCCGGCTCCGCGTCGATTGGCGATGACGATTGAGTGGAGATTGCTTTATTGAAATGCCATCGGAAATTATCACTAGGAAATGTAAATATTGCCCCAGCAAGTGATGTAATGGATAATTACATTCCTAGTACTTTTTACACTTTTTAAACATACCCGGTAATATACATATACATTGCCTAGAATTTAATTGAATAAAATACCTACGTAACACATCTATATAAGTGCTATATAGGATTTGAGTGAATTATCATATTGTACTATGAATAAAACTATGCGTTTACCATGAAGTGTCAGTATCAGTACTACTAACCAGCATAACTTAGTAATCTCGACGAAAACCTTTAGGAAGCTGAGCTTTAGTTGAGAAAAGACAAAGATTGTGTACCGGCAGTTTGCAAAGCGACAACTTGCGGCGATGTTTTAATTGACATTAAAATTAGTTGACACGAAAGTTTGTGTAAACAAAGGATTTGTAGTACTAAACAGAGAGAGAATTTCTATTGAGCAATATAAAGTTGAACAATATTTTGTGACACTGTTGTACTGACTGTACCTAGTAATTAGCCGGGGCCTGCGGACGGCTAGCAGGAGAAGCTCACTGCCCGACCAGAACAGCGACCGGTGCGTCGCGTTACGCGCGCCCCTTAAAGAACCATAAGACCACCACAAATGAAGCCGAATAGGGTTGATGTCCGATACGGAGCCGGGGAGGACTTAACGGGTTGCCGGGGTTCCGGCTCGAAGGGCAGAAGTAGGAACAGGGCAGTTTTCAATCAGTAAGAGTCTGATACTATATCGCCTCACTCAAGACATCGGATAAGCTGGCCCCCTCAAAAGATTAAAAAAAAATGTAATTCTATTCTGCATTATTATGTACTTATTTCATGTAACATGAGTTGGCGCTATCGATGTTAGTGGTGATTTTGTAAAACTGTATCTAATATGATAGAAAAAGATCATCCATTCCTGACTAACAAACAGTTTCAACAACATTGCAATATAAGCGCTATGCATAGTATTAGAAAAGTCTAAGTATTCGTAAGTAAATCTACAGGCAGAATAAGTTATTGCAATCGGCCGTGAAAGGATCATAACAAATTAATTTCTATTTGAAACACAGATTACATATAGTCTTCAATGTCTTTTACTAATGAATAAAATTACATTAATACACGAGGTAAACGGGGCTTCTTGGCCTTCAAGTTTCCTCGGCAATTTAACTCTTTGTAGTTTATCAATCAAGAATTTCTTGTTAATAAAATGTTGCAATCAGATCAATCAGTTGTCTGAAACTATATAATAACATCTTATTTTATGTAATATCGGCATCAACGCATATTAACATCCCTTGACTGTGAACTGCTGGACTTTGGTTCTCTAAATGAGATATCGCCAAATCTTTTTAGTTAGTAGGCGGGTTGCAGTTTTTAAGAAACACCCGTAACACCATAGGAGACACGAGTGCCTTACCGGTTTTTTAACTATTAATACCCTTTTTTTACGTCTTGAAGGTTGTAAAAGTACAGAGAGTAATGTTTCCCGATGTCTATTAAATCTGTAATCCCTAATCGGCTATTCGAATACCCACGGGAAGACTAACCGTTAGTGAAAAACATACTTCACGGGCCTGCGGACGGCGAGTACAGGTAACTCGCCACCTGACTAGAACCAGACCCGCGCGTACGGCGCGTCGCGTTCCGCGCGCACCCAAGGAGCCATCAGACCACCACAGATGGGACCCTACAGGGCTGATGCCGATACGGAGCCGCGGAATACTTAACGGGATGCCGGGGCTCTTAGTTAGTAAGAGTCTGACATTCCCTTTCGCGCTGACCCGGGCGGGAGAAATCATTGGATGATATCCCGCCCCCCAAAAAAAAGTGAGACATATTTATTCAATTTTACCGTCAAGGCGACACATGGAACTGTTATTGCAGATCTGTTTATTAATAGAAATGTCGTCTCTAGCTTTAAAGGATAAGGCGCTATTATGTGTTGACAAAGTGAAATTCTGCCTAATATTAGACACAAGTAGATCCAACATTGGATCGCGTTGTATTCGTTGATTAGCTGCAGGAAGCTCGGAGACTGATCAGTGCATCTAAAGATATATTTAGATGTGAAACAAAGCCTAGCTCCTATGTTGATAATATTCGACTTATGTATGGCCATAATTTCTAAAGGCAAAATGATGTAATACTACCTAGTTCGTATACATTTGAATCCGAAGTGGTAGATAAGTTATTAACTTGAACTCGACTAATATTTTAACTACCTATCAAATTAGTTCACAGAATTATAATTAACAGTATATTTTAGTATAATCTTTGTGACATACGCAAAGATTTTCGACTTAGATTCGTCGACGCATACAAAATCATATTGCTTTAGTCAATGGCAAATCGTCTAGTATGCAATATACCTATATTTTAAACGAACGTAATATAGTATATAATAAAGTTAAGAAAAGAGACAACGCTGAAAACGTAATACAAAATAATAAGTACCAATATACACAACATAATTATTAGGTTTTTGGTCCTCGAGGAGATAAGTATAGATGCACATTTTCAATAATGTTTCACCAAATTTTCACCATTTATATTACGAGTCCAATGCAATAAAGTATAATCCTGTTGCCATACAGGCACGAATCTAAACTCCGTATTCCTACGGCGAATTTGAACCTAAATTGTAATGAATGTGTAAGAAAGTAAGATACATACTACATAGTTATCATGAACACACAACTTTTTAAAACTAAATGTCTACCAGAAACACGGTCCCATGATATTATCCTTCCCTCTTAGGTTTGAAAAAGATTTTATTTTTCTATGTATAATAGAGCTTAAAGTAATTATACAGATCGTCAGAGATTATTAGTTACATTTATTCTACCCATTGTAAGGATGTGTAGGGCTGAAGATCAAGGAATATGGTGAGTTATTGGAGACGCCTACGTCCAGCGGCAGCGGACTTATCATATTTGCCCGTTGATCATATTATATTGAACCGCGAATTTGTTCCCACTTTTTATAAACGGATTAGGATCAGCATTAGTTGTTAACACGTTAATGAAAATCAACACGTTTGATAGATTTAATTAAACTTTTTATGTAGTTTTTTTTATGTGCTACCTGCTTATTTCTTGCAAATATATTAAGCACGTCTTTTAAAAGACACTAACAAAATAATCATGAGATTTTTAACTCGAATACTTTACTCGAAAAACTCAGCGCTACACTCAAGCTTCCTTGCGAAATATTTAAACAGTTTTAGAACTGATTAAAATAATAGGTATCTAAACTAAAAAAAAAAAATTTTTTTTAATAACTACTCATTATGATTATTTGCTACGGTGCGGTAGGATATTATAACATTCGCATTCGTTATTTAGATCCTAATTTAATTATAGCCTTTGCCAATAATATTAAACTATGTACTGCACTTAATTAAAATACTGGATAATAATGAAAATTCGACAAAATCCAACTGTAAAATTCGCACGCATTTTGCACTTATTGAATAGAGAAGTCGCTGAGATGAAACGTAGCAAAATATTTAGGAAACTTACCGTGTGTGTGTGAATTATAAGTCACAAGTGACCAGTCATCACCCTCGGATTGCGTCGTTGAGTCCTCATGTTCCTGAGTTTGGAAACATGGGAAGCATGCCCGGAAGAGACTTAACAGAGCCAGCTTGACTGTTTCTTTTACACGGGTTCCCAAAAATCTCGAAGCTACTGTTAAAGTAGCTTCTGTCCTTGCTTCTGAATTTGTTCTACAACAATATAAATTATTTTATTAACACATGAATTAAACGAGTTATCCGTAAATTTCAATGTAAGTTATCAAACAAAGATTTTTATCTCAGATGGCGCACATTTCATTTTGTCACTTCGTAACACACTTTGGCTTTAAAAATAAAAATTTAAACAATCCTAATTATTACTGGAATTATAATCAAATTTTAATATGATTTGGCCGAATTAAAAACATATATTTATTGCCTGAAATTTTACTAATAAACTTTCTTTTATTTAGTTATCGGCTCGAAAAGTTTAACACCACATTTATTAACCTTTTGCAACGAACTTTTAAAACATTTTTTATATTTGGATTTTCAAAAAATTACACCTACCAAAGTTCTGGGTGAACGTGGTATGCGACTAACATCGATGTAATAATATGATCTGTGGTCACGCGACTTTTGCGGGCCAAGTCACGGGTGGTACTAAAAGCAGTAAAAGCTATCACGCATATTTAACAGTTCCGATCCGGCCGGTGCTCAAATCTTAGCTGATTGCGACTGCAACTGAATGAAAACTAACATACCTTGTTTTGAAAAATGTGCAATACATTTTTTTTTATTTATTTTCTGCACAATTTTGATATATTTATGCCATTTAATTATTGTTTTGAAATGTTTGTTGTCAAGAGAGTTCAAGGGTAGCCCGGCATCGGCACTGCGCATGCTCTCAAAGATATATGAATAAACACCAGGAAGCGCGCTAATAAACAATAGCGCGCGGGTTTGTTTATGTTAAATTCAGTTCTAATGATTTTTTAAATATTTTAATCGATTTCTATACATTTTTTTATTGAAGATAGTATAAAAAACTTATAAAAAATTTTATTTTGAATTTTATAGCTAATTTTCGACCACTTATGACCATTGTTAATTAATATAATTTTTTGAATAAAATCTGATATGAAATATATCATTTCATTTAAAAATGTTCCTTGTACAATTCTGAACAGGGAACCGCAACTTACGGGTCAGAATTGAACTGTAAAACAGTCCTTATTGCAATGGAATAAAGTTGCAATCAAACTGGTCTTGAATTAGTATGTTTACAGTTATCAAAATGAGTCTAATGGGAAGAGAGAACTTTACACGCGCATCTCTTTAGAATATACCTGTCGAGGTAAATGTTTAAAATAAAAATATTACCTATAATTAATTATAAAATATTATTACGACATTAAGAACATGGTGTTCTTACACATAAATTACAAATATAAATAATTACTTACATAGCTGAATTTGGACAATGAACTCCCGTGTCCCGCGATCAATTTAATGTTCCAAGCTTGTAAGTAGAGATATAAAAAATATAGATTTTTCTACACATCCATCTTAAATGGAGACCGACGTGGGAATGCGTGAAAAAGGAGACTTCGCGAGCCTTTTATTTGGATGTTTAACATTAGTTGTGCGCCGGGACTAGGTTTCTATGCAATAATACTTTAAATTATAAGGATAATTAGTCCTTCAAAGGATAACTAGGTAGTGTTAGAGGGTAAACTAAATTAGTCGGAGGTCATGTTAAGTAAGATTCTTATATGTATTCCTATTTTATTGATTGACTCTTTCTGTCTGCAACTTCGTCCGTGTTGAATAGTAACTTTAGCCAGAATACTTCTTATTCTTATTTACAAAACAAATTATATGCCATTGTATGTTACTATCGCCATGTTGGACTGGGGACAATTGCCAGTGCTCCCGTGGCCCCGCCTCAAAGCAGGAGTTGTAACGAGTGGTTTTCAGTCAGTAAGAGTCTGAAATAACGCGGTGGGCCGAAATTAAAAAAAATATATATCGGAAAGTGATGCATCCATAAGGGTTAGTAAGAAAAAATTTTAAATACTTAGAAGCTATTTTGTTACAAGCCTACCGGTGGGACGCCGCTACATTTAAGACGCCCGCTTCTCATGAATGAGAGTGTGGGTTCGAAACCTACCAATGGCAAATACCAATGTGACTTTTTCCGAGTCATATTTATATGTACTTTCTAAAATTATCTAGACACCATTGACAAACAGTGAGGAAACCCGGGTTTATAATTTCTAATTATAAGTTTGAAATCGCCAACCCGCATTGAGCGAGCGTGGTAATTAATGCTCAAACCTTCTCCGTACGAGGCAAGGCCTTTGGTCAAGAGTGGCTACTTATACACTGTTATTGATGATGACGAAGAGCCTGGTTGTTTCAACCTCTATACTCTCTCAACCCAAACCAAGTTTAAACCTCTTGCTTCACTTAGGGTTGAAGGAGACGTTTGACAATTGTCTCGGCACCTAAAAAGCGTATTAGCTGAACAATAAAAATAGTTTCGATCTAATCCGTGTGTTACTTCTGAAGATTAGCACACGTTTATCTTCAGAACTAATGCTACTGTTTTGTTATGTTAGTAAACAGTTGAAAACCTCAGTGGGATTTATAACGTTTACGTAGTCTCGTTTCCTTTGACACATTAAGAAGAATAGCGATTTTATTTTATTCAATACACCTTTAAAGCGGTGTGTTTTATTTGTTATTTAGAATCTCACAGAGGACAAAGAGCAGTTTTTGCGTAAACAGTTGTCTATGGTGGAGGTATTTCAGCGTGCAGTTTATTCGTTTTAATGAAATCGAATTGTTGAGGTGATAAAATTAATTATTTATTAAGTGGTTTGAGTGTTGATTTTTTAATATATCTCAATTCGTTTTAAATTCGTTGATCGAGTACTTACTCGATTTATCTCGGTGTTTATTTGGCATTGGTATGACAGGGGATGAAAACTATTAACCCGTGCGGTGTTAATAGTTTGTCGAGGTTTCGGCTTGAAGTGCAGGAGTAGGAATAGGGTAGTTTTTAGCCAGTAAGAGTCTGACACTTCCCCTGGGCTTACCCGAACGGCTGAAGAAGTCATTTGTTGATTTTGTATTAGTTTTAGTGTATCTTAAGAAATAGTTAGTATTTGTTTAAGTTTATATTATTTGTAAATACAGTAGAACCCGTTTAAGACGATCACGCTTAATACGATTTCTCGCATAATACGCCATTTTACGTCGGTCCCTGCAACTTAAAATATATTTTCATACATTTCTTAACGCTTAATACGATTCGTCATCCCGTTTAATACACGCCGAGCAGCGAGAGAGGTCAGCGCTCCAGACGTCGTGTTGGAAGAAGAAGAACCCGAGATACTGCAGGGTTTTCCTGGATACTCTTCTATTAATGACAATGTAGCACCGTACGAAATTCAATCAATTGAAGATCTTATTGAGAATGTGAACAACACACAAAACGAAGCCCTAAGTGATAATGATGAAGACGAAGATGAGTCAACTCCAGTTTTGTCAAACGCCCAGGCATTATCAGCTGTTTATGATTTAAGACGCTATGTAGCTTCTATGGATCAAAGCGAAGACGCACTGCAAAAGTTGAATTATGTTGAAAATCTTTTAATTGCTAATGCATCAAAATCTTTTTGTCAAACCAAAATAAGTGATTATTTTAAATAATGTAATTTTAATTACACTACGTATTTAACGTAATTTATAAATGTATAATTACAAAAATTAGAACATATTACATAATAATAAGTAGTACTTTTTTTATTTTCCCTATCCCGCATAATACGCTTTCTCGCTTAAGACGCGTTTTTGGTAAGGTCCCTGAGAAATCGTCTTAAGCGGGTTTTACTGTAAAGTTTATTTTGTGTAAAATCAATTTAATAACTCGCCATGATATAAAAAAGTAGTCAAACAAGTACTTTTTTTATTTTCAAACGACCTAGCCCTATCTAGCCCGCCAAGTTTATTGTTAGTATCAAAAGTAAGTTTTGACCATACGCGTTGGAACCGTCCAGCGGTTCCTCGCGCTCATAAAATTATTTTGAAGTACATGTCCTTTTGCATAAAATATTTTTAATTTTAAATGTTAACTATTTAAGGGCAAGGATTTCGATTCCCGGGTCGGGCAAAGTATTGCTGGGTTTTAAAAAAAATCTCAGTAGTAGCACGGAGTTTGGAATTGTGCCCAGTACTTATATGGCAATAGGCTCACCCCCTATTACATGGGGCTCATAACAGAAATAGTGAAAAGCGGGTGTTACATTGTACAGTGACATAATGTGCACCTCTGCCTACCCCTTTGGGGATAAAAGGCGTGATGTTATGTTATGTTTATGTTAACCATGGTTTACATTATTAATGTAACATCATGTATATTTAGGTCCAATTTTCGATGTTTTCGCTAGTATTGATTGTTAGACTAAGAACTCACAGCGCGATCTTCTCCCGCGCCCACCGCAGTGGCGGAATAGAGGCGCACTCAAACTCACGACACCGATCTTTTCTGCGATTCCGCAGCCGCCGCGGTTGCGTTTATCGCCTGCAAACTTGGCGGTTGATTATCGCAACGGGCGGGCGGTTAAACAATCAGTTGAGTACCAAACCGGTCGGCCGTTCCATTGCTATCGTCCGCCTACCGATTGCAGAGCGCGTGAGTCCTCAGCCCGCGGGCGCGCCCGCCCCGCCGATGCAGTGGGAGCCGCACCGCTGCGGGCGTAGGTAAAACGCGTCGTTACAATTGCTTTGATATTTTACATACATATTTATTCTACAAAGGCTGCGGGCCCGGCTGGAAGCAAGTATAACAGCACACACATAGGACCCACTTAATTGTTTAGTCAAATTTCCGTAGTGCTTGGCGACTGGGCTTCACCCAGTTGTAGACTCTTTTTTGTGCCTTCAGGCTTAATTCATTCTGTCTCCTGCATTAATTCACCGAGGGAAGTGGAAACTACCGTTTCTTTTCTTTTCCTCTTATAATATCTTCTGATTCACTTCGTTGCGGGAACCAAGACAGTAAATCATGTCCCTGGGAAGCGCTGGACTTCAGTGCTCCGGTGTTTTCATGGTTGTATCTACTGTAGATCTTGGCTTACAGGAGTTGGGAGGTTGTGGCGGGCTTGTCCCATATATAAAAAAAGGCTGCGCGCCCGCAACAG